CCTTTTTTTGGATCTAATAAATCTTTAAATACTAATGCATAGAACTCTCTTGATGGACCTCCAGCATCTACTCCACTTTCATCATTAAATTAAATATCGAATTTATTTTAATTAAAATTATATCCATTTTATTTAATTAATACTTTATAGGCAGAATACCAAATTTAGTCTCTATTAACACACAATTAAGAAGAAACATATGAATCTTATAATTTTTTTTATAATTTTATACTCTTTGTCTATTTATTTTAATTTTATAAAATATTTATTAAAATTTTTTTAATAAAAAATAAATAAATTACTAGATAACTTTTAATTTTTAATTAAATGTTAATTTTTTAAGTCCAAATCTTCTATAAATTAATTCCAAACCTTATTATTTTTGATAATTTTCAAAATAAAATTAAGGAATTTGCTTTTTAAAAGTTCGTATAAATCATGAATTTAAGATTGCTAATACTTCACTATATTTAAAGATGAATATTATTTGACTATAACACTCAAGTTATGTTCTTCCTATTCTTCGTTTGGAGCATAAGTAAATATTTTTTTCAAAACTGTCATTTCATTTAATTGTTACTATTATTATTCATTATTTTCTTAATCATTATTAAAATATTATTGATTATTATTTAATTTTTATTCAAAGAATGTTTAATATATTTTTACCAAAGATTTTAATGGACTTTAAATAGAATAAAAACCATAATAAATATTATTCTATCGTCATCGGATATTTTTTGAAGTAATAAACATTAGTTTATGGTTTCAAATGTTATTTAATAGAATTCTTTTAAATTATTACATTAATCAACCCATATATGTTTAATTTCGTCAAAAATAGCATTTTTTTCTAAAAGGAATTTTTATTTATACCAATTTTAAGCTATTTATTCATCTTTATTGTTTTTGAGATTTTCATATTCATTATAATAAAACTTCATTTTGAAAGTTAAAATTTTATATATTTATTTTATCAAATACTTGAGATTTTAATAATATGATTACATGTAATAACTATAAAAACTATCAAAATTACTGACAATAGTTTCAAATTATGATTTTGCTTTTTATGTAACATTTATATTTTCTTCATTAAATATATCTTCATAGAAATTCTCGACTTTATATATTTCTTTAAGTTCATTTTTAACTTCTATTATTCTGTTCAAAAATTTCTCTCCTACTTTTTTCATATGTTAGCCGTATTTTTTAAACATACACTCACAAATAAATATGAAAGTCTCATTATCTAATATATCATTGTCAAATATTTTTAATGTAAATGAAGAATCTATAATATTCTTACCATTTATAATAAAATAATTAATTATTAATTAATGAATATCATTATTAATTATTTTTCCATTAACTTTATATATTTTAGAATTATAAAAATCTAAAATATTAAAATTTTTATAGCCATTCTATTTAAAGATTTCATTTTTTATATTTTAATTATTTGTATTTATATTTATAACTTAAACAGTTTTTCTATATAAACAATAAAATTATTAAATATTATTGAAAATTGATTAATAATTATCATCAATAAAATTAATATATTTCAAACCAATATCTTCAAATGTAACATCTTTATCAAATTTACCTAAATTTTATTTATCTGTAGCAATTTTTAACAAATCAATAATTATTTCTTCGAAAGTTTTATATTATTAGTAATTATTATCATTATTTACAATTTCATAATTAATTTTAAAATCAATATTAGAATGTTTTTTTTTTGTTAATTATAAGTTTTTCTCTTCAATATTTTGGTAGATTATATCTTTTTATTCAGGTATAAAATCTTTATTAATATTTTCGATTATTTCTATATTTTCAAATGCTTTGAGATTAACGAATTCTTCGAAATTTAAAAATAATAGGCCATATTTTTTATCGAATAATAAAAACTTTATATATTAAGTTACTTTAATTACTATATTTTAAATTGTTTAAATATATGATTCATCATTCTATATTTTAAATATAATTTAAGTATATTTTATATATATTTATTTTACGTTTTCTTTTTAAAAATTAATATTTTTGGAAACTAAATATTAATCAATCCATTAAATATTTAATTATTAATTATTGAATATTTTTTTTACAAAATATAAATATAATCCGAAAATTTTGAAATAATTAAATGGATTCACAAATGCATTTTCATATATTTTTGAAATCGATTTTTCTTAATTTTCATTAAATAAACTTAAAAAAACCAATTTTAAAGCCGTTTTTTAAGAAATTATAGGTACTTATAAGCATTTTTCAAATTTTTCTTTAAATTTTTTTTCATCTTCACTTAATTCTTATTTATTAAACAATTAATTTACTTCCTAAAGAATTTATTCGAATGAACCTTTTTTCTCTTCTTATTATTTGAATTTAGTTTCGGCAGATTCTTATATTATTTTAGCCTATTATTATTGTTATTCATCTAAAAGTTCATTTAAATTTTAATCTTAGCTAATCAAAATAATCCTTTTATCATCTTCTTCCAAAGTTTATATTGCATTTTTAAATTCTTTAGATTCTAAATATGACTTAAGTTCTTATTTTTCTTGTTCTAAATTTTAATTAAAAACTTAACATATTTAAATTTTTTCTCTTTTTAAAAATAATTCCATTTTATCCTCTTTTGATTTTTACAAAAGTAATTCATATTATTCTTTTTTATTTTCAATATATTTTTCTTTTTAATCATCTGATAATTTTGCAAGCTCGAGTAAATTTATCTCATATTTTTCTACTATGTCTTTTACATATCGAAATTATTCATGATTTTCTATATATTCTTTTGCTTATAATATCAATTTTTCTTCATCATTTTTTTCTATTTTTTATTCGTCTTATCCTTTATTTTATTCAAAATTAAAGTTCATTCCTTATAAATTTATATAATTTTCTATTTTTATTATTTCTTATATTTTCTCTTCATTTATTGGTTTATATTAGCTTTCTTTCATATTTATTTAATCTATTAAATGCTTATTTATTTAAATTTTTATTTTTTATTCCGAATAATAAGAATCCAAAAAAGCATAATTGTTTTCTTCTGTAAAAACTCGTATTATTTATTAATCGAATTAATTCTTTAAAACATCAAAATATAATTAATTCATTTTTTCTTTATTACTGTTTTCATCTATTTATATTTCTTTATTATTTTACTTCTTCTCCTCATCTTCTTCAAATTCAAATTTAAATAATTCTTCTTAACTTTTTTTTTCTATTGAGTTAAAAATTTATTCAGAATTAAAATTAGATTTGTTTTAGTAATTTTAAATTTAATTTTTCTCGAAAAATTGGAATATATTTTCGTATACGAAAGTTTGTAAATCAGAATTATCAAATCCATTTCCAAATAAACTTCTTAAAATATATTTATATGCTTTATTATATCCATTCAATATTTTAAAGTCATAAAGTTTATTTAAAGTTTCTTCTTATTAGGCTTATTCTATTGCTTTTTCATATAAACATAAAATAAGTAATCCATCATTTTTTTATTTATTTATTATCTATTTATATAATATATATATATATATATATATATATATATATATATATATATATACATGTTTGATTGTTATTTTAAAAAATTTATATATTCCTTCTAATATTTATGAGTATATTTTATTTTAATAAAAGTCGTTTAGTTCAATTATATTTTTCATCATAAAAATAGTTTAATATAGAACATTCTAAAGAATATTATCTTTAATTTATTAATCTTACTACTAAATTGAAGAAAAAATAACAAAATACAAAATATCCAGAGAATAATTTTAACCTAAAGTATTTTAATAAATTAAATATTCAAAGAGATTAGCATTCTCAATAAATTCGTAAGGTAATTTATTCTTTAATTAAATTAAGCAAGTTTAATCAACTTAAAATTAATTAAATTAAGGAACGATTAATTATTAATAATTATTCAATAATCCTATTATGTATAATTCTACTTCTCTTTAATCAAGTAAATAATTATCTTCTTTTTATTAACTAGTATCATTATTTTTTTACTCATTTTCAGTTTCTTATATTTTTAAATAGGTTCTTTAAGTATAAATATTAATTAAACTTTAGAAAAATTAAAATTATTCGTTGCTAAGTCTAATATATTATTATTTTTTCTATTATATCTTAATAACTTCTTCTATATTTTTAAATTTAAATAATATTTATGATTTTTAAGTTTCTTTTTCTTTCTTTTTCATTTTCTTCATCATTTATTTCTTAATTTTACAGATTTTCTATTTAACTATTTTTATTATTCTCTTAATTTTAAATCTCTTATTTTTAATTTTATATTTCTTGTTTTTAATTTTAATTTTCTGTTAAGATTTCTTCTTATTTCTTTACTTCAAATATTTCAAGTAAAATTTAATAGATAATTTTTGAATAAGCCACATATGTTTTATTATATTTTTGAATTATTTATTCATTAATTTAATCTTGATTTATACTAAAATTTATTAATTCTTCTTATTTTAAAATTTGTTCTACTTCATTATTACTAATTTCATTATCTTTGTTACTATTTTATTTAAGTGTATTGATTAAATCTTCAATAATTTTCTTTTTTAAAAATCTCTTAAAATTATTTTTCCCTTTATTTATGAAAATGGCATAATGAAATAAAATATAACTAAATAAAATTAGTTTATTTCAAATTTAATTTAATAATTAACTTATTTAAATTAGAGTTTAAAATCGTAGTAATAAATTATTCAATTAAATTAATTTTTGATTCTTTTACAATATCATAAAAATCTCTTATATTTTTAAAGCATTAGGCTATTATTAGATTTAAATTATCAATTAAAAATTAATTATTTTTTTATTAGAAACCATCTTGATTAAAATTAAACTAAAAGAGTATTAATTATATGACTTTAATATTAAAATCATAATATTATTAAATTTATTCATCATTTAATTTAATTAAAGATAGCATTTTATTTGATAAATTTAATAAATTCATTAAAGTATTCCAAACATTAAACTTTGAATTATTATTTAAAATAAGTTCATAATTTTAATTTAGTGAATTTAAATAATCGTTAAAACTAAAAAAAATAAATTCATTATAAGTTTTTGCTTCATTTATTTTATTTATATATAATTCTAAAATTTAATTTAATAAAATAACTAGATTCTACTTATCATATTTATTTTTTTCATAATTAAAGCAATTCTTTAAAATTAAATCGAAAGTGTAAATTTTAAAGTCATTATTAATAGAATTATTTTATTATAAATTATTACATGTTTCCAAGAAATTATAATTATACTATGTTTCACCTTCTTTTTCTCTAATAACATTATAAAGTAAAAAGCTAATCTTTTTCAATAAATACTGTTAGTATTGTTTCATATATTAATTTTAACTATTTTGGTTATTCCATTCTTCGATTTTTGTTTATTATTAGTTTTCCAATTAGTCTCGTAATTATTAATATTCCTCTTGATTATCATTATTTTTTTAAATTCACTTAATTATTAATACATTTTATTGTTTTGTTCTAATTAAAATTAAAATTGATAAATTAAATAGTCACCTTTAATAAAAAGGTTAAAAAGTTTTTTTATTTTGCAAGATAATTTTAATCCTTATTAATAAATGCCTTCATTAAGTAAATAGTTTATAAGATTTTAAATTTAAAAATTCTATTCTTTATATAATAAAATTTTTGTATTTCTAATATCAAATGATATGTCTAAATTTGTGATAATTTAAACATTTTAAATTACCAAATTTTTAATGTTTTTTATTAATTAATTTTAAAAATCATTTCCATTATTAAATTCTGAATTTAATTTTAGATTATTTAAAATAAATAACGTTTTTATATAATCTACAAATTTTTCATATTTTGAATAATCTTCTTTTTAATAATTACAATAACTCCATAAAATTTCAATATATTAAATTTAGTTGCTTAAAATATATTCAAATATTATTCGGCAGACAATTTACTATGATTTTTTTTCATTTTCATCTTGATTTTTGCTTTACTATTATAAAAATTTTATTAGATAATTATTTAAAGATATGAGAATATTAATAAAAACTTAAAAGTTTGTAATATAATATTTTTCATTGATATTAGACTAAGATTTTTTAAAATTTTCTAATTAATTAACCAATATATATTTGATATAAAAAATCCTTAAATAGAAAA